CGTACGCAGGTATGTCCGAACTGTCAGTCGTGTGACTTCAGGTCAGCGCGTCTGGAACTGCTCACTTCAAAATGGTGAATGGCCTTGAGGCAGCGAGGTCTTGAACAATGACGCCAGACCGGTCACGATGGCTGAACGCTATAGGGGTTAGGGTGAGGCGTTAGGGTTAGGGGATAGGATTAGGGGTTAGGACAACTATTTTGCAGCCACTCAAAGTACAATCGTGCATTCTCAATAACTTTTCTTTTGCATACAACTACTTGACCTCGTCGCCTATGCGTTCCCCGGTCCCACCTGTAAAAACCCCTACTACAACTGGTCCCGTATTACAGGTGGCTGGGGTTTGTTTACCTCAGGTGGGGCTACATAACCACATCTAACCCTCTTGTGGACCAGGAGGTGTGGTGTTGCGCATGGATGGGGGTTTTTGCCCTGCCAACCACATGCTCCCTCTCCCACCTCCGGTCGTCTTGCCCCTTTCATGACCCAGAGTCTAGGTGGGGGGGGGGGGGATATAAAGAGTGCTAGGTACAGCTCAAATCTACGATCAGCTTAGACGAACCCACGTGCAAGTCACCGCGCCTACCCTCAGTCTGCTGTGAAGCAAACGGTGGACATCTTCGGAAACGACGGTCGAACGATCAACATTTCACGAATCCTCTCATATTTGCCATTCTTTCAACCTTCCGTGCTGAACCAAACTTAACTGAACTGCCGTATCTGAGCTTGCACTAATGATGATGGATCTGGAGGATGAGTAATCAAAAGTTGATCTACATTGTGGACTAAGTATGTTCCACAAAAGTGTGAAATAGACTTTTTAAAATTTTCTGTCCTATGAAGGGATGACATGTGAGTTCTTAGGTGTTTGAGTAGTTTCATGAATTATTCAGTTCGGCGTCCTTTATTTATAAGTGTGGAAGGCTTGTAAGCAGCCTTAAAAACTCTCTGCGCCAATCGACCAAGGTCCTATGTATGAGCCGAAGTCCATCGGACAAAATCATGGTCTCCTTCGATGTGACATCGTTATTCACTTCCATCCCACCAAACTTGGCCCGCGAAGTCTTGCGCAAGAGACTTGAAGAGGCGTACGATGAGACGCAGAATGCACTCAAAATTGAACACCTCATGAGGCTGATTGAATTCTGCCAACAAACTTTCTTCACTTTTGCGGGAGAGACCTATGAACAAATCAGGGGAACACCAATGGGCTCACCGGTCTCCGGTTTAGTGGCAGAACTGGTTTTACAAGAGTTAGAAAATATGGCCTTCATCCAACATTAACCGGTGTTTTGGCGCCGTTACGTAGACGAAACGTTCGTCATCGTAAAGAAGGATATGCTGCAACATTTCCACTGCCTGCTCAACGCAGTCTTTCCTGATATAAAATTCACGAGGGAAGAAGAACAGGAACAGCGGTTGCCCTTCCTGGATGTGCTTGTCAGACGAAACCTTCACGGTAAACTTGAAACGACGGTTTATAGGATGGCAACGAACACCACACAGCTTCTCAGTTTTCACAGCAACCATCCGGTGGCTCACGAACGAAGCTGTGTGAAGACGCTCTCCAAAAGGATCTAAAGTCATTGCAGCAAACCGGAGGACAGAGCACATGAGGCCCGTTATCTCCGCGACCAGTTTGTTCAAAATGGCTATCCGAGGGCATTCATAAGTCGCTGCCTATGCGGTCGCCACCAGAGAACTCGAACATCAACGCCACCAACGATATGGCATTCTCTGCCATGCATCAAGGGCGTTTCAGAAGCGACCGAGCGCATTGTTGCGGAGCTAGGTATTGGGATTGCACACCGCCTCAAAGCCACCATGCACAATAGGGTCATGAAAATCAAAGACCGGTTAAAGCCTGATGAGCAATCTGGAGTAGTGTATCGCATTCCGTGTCAAAATTGTCCTTGTAACTATACAGGACAGACTGGGCCCATGCTCGTATCGCGCATACACGAAAATAAGCTGGCTGTGCGACGAGGCGACGTATTATCACAAGTGGCTGCGCACACCTACGAAATGGGTCACGAGTTTAATTTCGCAGCCACCAAAATAGTCAGTCACCCACGCCGGAATCAAAACAGGCCGAGAATTGATTGAAGCCTGGACCTCGGATGAGAACTCGGTCAATCGATTTATCGATCTGGCGCCAGCATACAGAGCCCCGCGTAGTCACCTCCAGTCTTCCGCCATCGGTCGATGATTGGCCTACGTGCCGTATAACTGTTGTTTGTTCTACTTCTGCTGCTACCTCTGACGATGGACTCCTGTACGAGTCTGAAAACTCAGGACAATAAACGCAGTGTTCCGGTGCTCAACTCCTCTTCTTCTACGCTTGGAAAATATCTGCTACTTTTTTCCCGTCATGTTTCAGTAGAATGGAGGTCATTGGGTATTCATTAGAGCGGAGTCCTAGTTCTTATCTTTAAAGTGGGGAAGAATGGCAAATTTTGAAAAGTCAGCATGTTTGGTACAAAACCTAAAAACACTTATTTGGTTTCACATAGGAGAAACGAAAGTTGTCAAAGTTCTTGGTGCTTTTTATTCGGAATCTAATGCACAGACTTTATGCCAGAAAAAAGTTCTAAATAGGTCTATCTTTTACATGGGTGCAGAGTTTAACTATCTACCCTGACTGCAAGTCAAAAATGATCCGCTCCACCCTTTGTTTGATGCCCATAACCCACAGGCCTCGCAGGCGGTCGCATGAGACTAACATTTATTAGTTCATAACATTTCAGCCAAAAACAGTTACAGTGGAAAGGCCATTTACGGCTGATTCAGCCCTATCAGTCAGTGATGGTTAATCCGAGATCGCGCGCTAAAGGCGAGTCTTTAAGTGAGTGAAAGCGAGCGCTGTGGCCTCAGTCACTAACGCCAATTTTAAGAAACCTATTTTGTTGCTACTATAGCGTGATTCATACCTTCATTTTTTGTTCCTACGTTAGCATACCCTTCAAAATGTTGTTACAAGAACTTCATACCGAAGTCGTGCACAGTAATGAAGCGACGTCACGATATCCCCTCTGACATGGCCACTTAGTGGAGGGGATAGTATGCCTCAGCTGTGGTCGACCGATAATGTTCCCGAACAAGAAGGTCTGTGGACAGAATGTGCCGGTATGGAAGGGCAGAAGAAAGTGTTTCCGTAAGTGAAAATGAAGAAATGCCGAGCACCGGAAAATGCTGTTTATTGTTCTGAGCTTTCCAGCTCATGCAGGGGTCCATCGTCGGAGATAGTAGCACCAAAGGCAGAACAAGCGACTGTTATAGGGCATGCTAGCCAATCATCTACCGACGACGCAAGGCTGGAGGTGACTGCTCAGGGCTCTGTACGCCGAAGCCAGTTCGATAAATCGACTGACTGAGTTTTCATCTGAGGTCCAGACGTCAATCAATTCTCAGCCTGTTTTGTTTGCGGCGTGGGCGAGTATTCTGGCGGCTGCGAAGTTAAATTCCTGACCCATTTCGTAGGTGTAGGTGACCACTTGTGATAATGTGTTGCCTCGGAGTTCTTTTACGAATTCATCTACTTCGTAGTAGTATGTATTCATTCTCTTCACAAAGTTTATGTATGAACTGGGAGGTAGGCTTCCCAGGAAGTGTAGTTCGGCAAAAGCACGTTTTTGGAAAATGCAATAGACTTCATTTTGTAAATTTTCGAAGTTGGTTCTCAAGTTCGTCATCAGAAGTTGAGTAAATGTGTTAAAAAAACGGTTAGCATCCCAAACCTGCTTAAAAATCTGAATTTATTTTGGAAATTTAGTAAATAAGATTTGTCGCCTTTCTCGGAGAGTCTATTTCCTTTGAATGCATATATATTTGCACATATATGCAAACAAGAAGGTACTAACAAAGGCAAGAGAGACGGAGATGCCATTTCCGGCCCATTGGCTATCATTAGCCAGTCATATACAACCCTAGGCGTGGGGCACATAGGAATCGAACTCAGGATCTTTGGTCATTTAGTCTAACTCTCTATCACCGAGTCACGAGCCCGTAGTCCTGTTGGTTATGATCGGCAATAGTAACAACAGTGGGAGGACCTTCACTCTTCAAGCTGTGGACATGCTTGTCCCGTTGTTTCTTGGGGTTGAAATTACAGTCCTCGTAGTAGTTTACGCAGAGGGAACGATTTATCAACACCGACGCTCACAAACCTCTTTGAAAGATGCGTAAAGTCACCGTTTTTACTAGACGTCTATTTTTTGTAGATGAAGGAACTGTTTTATAGTGATCCATTCTATTTTGATTAGCTGTATTGTGGATATAGTCCCTTCCATATCCGCTAACTTCGGGCTCTTCTGCTCCTTAGATCTTCATATCTGTATCGGCAACAATTTCATAGGTGACCTACAATACCGTACCCAAATGATTCGCTCCAATTGATACATATAATATTTTGCAGATTTAAAAGCCACAGGTATATAGTGACCATCTGTTTGAAGTGCGACTGTTACATTTTGTCATTTTATGATCGTGTGTAAGACAGGGCGTCCAGGCTATTGAGCAAGCGTACTGACACAATGCAAATTCGACACAGCCACACGGCCCTCACTCAAACACAATTCAGCCTCTACATGAATATATTGTCTTCGCGTCCAAGCCTAGGGGCAGTGTCCGCGGCGGCCACCTGTAACACAACTAAAGCAAAATGCAAATGTGTTTTTAGTCATGCACACAGGCCAGCAGTTCCGGAGCAGGATTAATGTGCACGTGTTTGGTTTGTGCGAGTTAATGCAATATCTGGCAATCTGATTGGTCTAGGTGAATCGATTTGCAGCCACTAACACTTCAGAGCCCGCCTACGCTTGAGCACATGCCCAGTCGGCGTACTGTCTTGGTGCACGTCCACTTGCAAAAATTATTGGTATTGGTGAGGTCAGGGTTAGTGTCTTAAGGATACCCTGTAAGGGCACTCAATGCCAACACCAGAGCAGCCAAACGCTTGGACTCGATTCACACGGGTCTTCAAAAGCGGCGGGGAAGGGAAGATGCCCAAGACGAAAGAAGGCAAACATAGATCTTTCACCTGTGGTCTATCCAAAAGGAAATCCCGCGCAAAAGAAGAAAAGACTACAAAGGTTGAACAAACTTCGAAAGTTAAAAGAACGAAGAATCCGAAAGTCAAGGGAAACGTTAGTGTAAGTACTTTTTTAGCTGTACCTAGTCGCTTGCACAATTATGTCATCAGTTAGATTGAAATTAAGACCCATTCTGTAGACCCAGAAGAATATTTTATATAAAGGAGATTTTAACATGTGCAAGGAGCAATTTCATGTGAAAGAATGAATATCCCTCAAAATCACCGAGCCGTTTTTGTAGAAATTTAATGGAACGCAAACGGTAAATTTGCAAAAGAGTACTATTGAGGTTAGAAGTCCTATTTTTAGTATGCTTAAAAAGTAGCCGAAAAAACCTCGATGTTTTTTTAAGAAAGACCGATTCATACAAACGGTAAATTTCACTGATTATCTATTCTTGGCCAAATTGGTGTCGTTTGCATTTTTAAAACATTTTAAAGACTCACAACGGCGTAAAGGATCTCAATAAGTCGTAGGAAAGTTTGTTACACCCTAAAACGTTATCATTAGTTAATTCCTCCAAACATTTAAATGTCACTGCGTTAGATTCCTGCTAAACAGAGGGATATGGGGATATTCTTCCTTCGGTTGCAAACAGACCAAATTGTAAATATTCTGTCTCTCTGGCAACATAGAGGCATTCATTTTTTCCAAAGAACAACCGTTAAAATAGCTGTGTTATTGTTCAGAAAATAAGCGGATACCTCTGCATGCGGGAAACGTAATTGATACTTGAAGAAAAATTTGAGACAGTGTTTAATGCTGGTGCTTTTATATGACTTATTTCATAGTTTGAAAAGAATGGCCAAGTCGAGATGTGGGATGGAGTTGTCAAGAACAGCCTCTGCGGGACAAAGATAGTCATCAAAGCAGTGATATGTAATTCAGATTCCCGGAAGATCTACGCCTACGAACCCAGTGATTTTACACCATCCATAGAGCAATGCCAAAGAGTTATGGAACTGATGGAGGTAAGTCTGCAAGGTCTGCTTTGTGGTACGACGGAAATTAAAATGAGTCCACTTTGAGCATAGCAATAAGACACAAAGTTATAGAGTTGTCTGACAAGGATTACCTTAACGTTTCCTAAGTAGGTAGTTAACCCCACTAATCCGGGTGTTGTACCGAACTGTGACAGGCACATATAACTTGAAAATTATCAAACATTCTTGAAGGCTACTTAAAAATGATATCGAGCAAATCCAGTCATGTCACGTCAGAGTGTTTGTAGTCATCGGAGTCTCCATTACCCGTCCCCTTGTTCATACTGCTCAAATTGCTCGATATGTTAAAATGCACACTCTTTTCCGGCGGAAATAGTCTTTTATTTCGGCGAATATAACCCCGTCCTTTAAACTGTGCCTCATGAAATTACAATTTCTCTTGTTTCTGCACAATAATTTACCAATCTTTGTGATATACAGTAGGTGGGCTAACTCACGAAATGTCAGCCGAAATTCCGTAATGCGTTTTCGTTTCTAAAAGACTAATCAAGTAGGATTGTAAAACTGATCAGCCTGCAACGTAATTCTATAATAATTCAGTTACCTCAGGATGCCGGCTTTCGAACGAACTTCTTTCCGGCTGCATACAAAAAAACTACACCCTAAAAATTATTGCTTATGTAGCATGCATTTTTCTCATCGATTGTCGATGTCCCTAAATGTCCAATTATATTTCATGGAAGACCTGAATAAAAATATTCATTCTTCCGCTCCTTCGGTAGAACATTACGTCTTATTCCAATTTTGATACTCGAAGGAGGGGTATCAATCGGTTTTTAAAAGCTTTTCCAATTCCCGAATAACTTTGAACCCAAACAGCCGTTAGACTTGCATTCAGGGCTTCCAAACTCCAAGTCGTATATTTTCCGCGCATGAAAAACCATACATTTCTCTGCAGTATTAGGAGGAAATCATATGGGGTTCGTAGAATTTACCAGCGGAGTTGAGCCGTATTGTTAACTTAACAAGCCATATCGGTTAATGCAGAGACATGACTTTTATGATCTGCCGTTTCACGATATTAAAGAATCTCACAATAAGGAACTTTTTAAAAACCGAATTATGTCCCTCCTTCGAGTATAAAATTGGAAGAAGACGTAATTTTCTACCGAATGAGCAAAAGGATGAATATTTTTATGCCTTTTTTCCATGAAATCTAATTGGATTTTTAAGGGTATCGAAAATAAATGAGAAAAATGCACGCTACATAAGCAGTCATTTTCTACGGAGTATAGTTTTTGCATGCAGCCGGAAAGACGTTCGTTCGAAAGCCGGCATCCTGAGATAACTTAATTATTATACAATTACGTTGCAAGCTGATCAGTTTTATAACCCTACTTAATTGTTTTTTTTCGAAACGAAAACGCATTTCGGAATTTCGGTTGACATTTCCTGAGTAAGCCCACCTACTGTATATCACACTTCTCTCGTTCAGACGCTAAGTCCGCCTGCTGTTTGATAATTTGAACTAAAGTTTCGTATTTACTCACTATTTTTCAAAGCTCTTGACCTTTCATTGAGTTGCCACAGTGCTGTCCAATGAATCAAGATGTACTTGATGCTGGTGAGCATGTACTTTAGATTTTATGGTGAAATGGTCTTTAGACCACGACCGTCATCATATGTAGGTGTACATATGCTGGCAAATTTGAAAAAATCGAATTACTTCTCATGTCAGCCGGCGGACAGATTGATCCGTTGAGAAACCCTTTCTTAGAAAAAAGTGCATCTGAAGACCACATGCAATAAGAAATATATAATATCAAAAATTCAGCCAGTAAAAGTATGATTTCCTCATAATCTTTACAGCTTGAGTTTTCTTTCCTGGTGGGAATAAGAGGCTGGTGTGTTGACCTGAATAGATACACGGAAAAAAGGCAACTATATTTTTTATTACTTGTTTGTTTCACAGTATTGTTGTAACCAGCACGAGAGTACAATCCATGTTGTTCGTTTATCTGCAAAACAGAGTGCTTTATGCGGGACCGTCTAGTAAATAAATAACAAACAATTTCAATTCTTAAGCGCCTAACGTTTTTAAAGTGTAGTTGGTTATGTGAAAGTAGATTGGTTTTGGTCAGTATTCAAGAAATCACGTACTTATGAAGCATAAGAAATAGACTAAAGAGGCGGAAAACAGAAACCAAACATAATTAATATCTGCATTATCAGTTAGCACTTTTACTCTTCAACCTGCTAAGATTGTGGGCTAAGGTTTTGTAATCTAGCAAACAGCTGCAAAGGATGGCTTCTGTAAGGTGGTAGAAGGCGTTTTCTGCAAAATGGCCATAAAGCCAGCGAAGGTTTTACAAAAACCTTAATTTACAGTTACTTACTGACGTCCCCACTTCGCCCGAAACGAATACACAAGGTTCTTAATGAGCTGTTTTGGTCTACTTTCATTATGAACCCCAGTGAGAGGTGGGAAATGTTAGGCAACTATCTTATTGGAAATTTGTCATCTTTCCATTTATTCGTTACGCGATCGAACATTGGAATGCGTTGAAGTCAAGTGCATGCCTCTGTCCGGGTTTGCTGACAGGGAAACGCCGAGAGCACATCCGCTACGAAATATTATCGACGATTGGCTAGTTTTCGCTTATTCGCATTAACCAGCCACTCAGCAAGCGACCTTGAGGGCCTCCGATTAAAACATGGGTCTGTTTGGTCACTCATGAAGAAGGACACATGATCGCTGGAACAAGAGCTTTATTAGCCTGACGTTTCGGATTCCTGCTCCAACCCATCATCAGAGACAAAAGCAAATGCGGGCGGTTCATGCACAAGGGACTGCAGTATTTATAGGATGCGGTCGTCATGCTACCACATACCTATGAACATTCACGGCTTCCCCCTTCATCCGGGATCGTCGCACTTGGTGTGCTAATTGTTTGATGGCCGACATTTGCGTCGTTAATTGCTGCAATTTCATCACGTGCGTTGGATGTTGGCGTGATAATTGCTCGACCATCTGACCTACCGACCCTGGGGGTGGGAAAAGTGTTCACCTGCGCGCTCTCCGCGTGGCTAATTACTCCGCCTAGGCGAAGTCTCAGCACTGAGTATGGAAGGAGAAGCTCATTGCACTTGTTAATGGACTGGGGGCCAGTGAACCATGACTAAAGCAGCTCCCGGCTCACCGGTTGTCATCTCCTGCGAGAATTTCGGCCTCGTCAAATTTGAATGTGTGGCCGGATCTCGTCGAATGAGCCGTAACTTGAGAGCTGGCGTCATTTCTCCACACCGATGTAGCGTGTTCGGCCATTCGCAGTTGCAGTTGCAGACAAAGCAAGTACGTCGGAGAGACCGGAAGACAGCTCCGAACGCGTTTATCAACAGCTTAAAGATAAGACATTTTTAGAAGCACTTATCTAAATAGTAAGTGCCAGAGCGTTCTTTTTGTGCCGATGGCGTTTAGGATCACGTACATAGACTCATCTGAATACGAAAACAAATTAATGGGAAAACGAATGTTCACAAAGAAGACCTGTGATGAATACGCATTCAATCAGTTGAGAGAATTTCACTCATGAGTTACTTATTTCAAAAGTGCCTTGATGGGGTATTTTGTGGTGCTTGAAATGCACTAAACTGATACTGTGGATTTTCGTTATTAGGTTTCACGATTTACGTCACCAAATGTGTTCTGCCCTTCATTCGTTCATATGACCTAGAATTTACCAGATTACCCACAGAGACTCTGTCACCGCTCTTCGAATTTTCGTGTGACCTTGTTTCGTTTAATCTAAGTATGGGTCAAAGGGACAAATTATTTTAAACAACCTACTTTAGGAGCTCTTAACCAGCTGTTATCCGAAAATGCATCTGAGGTATGAGTTTGCAGCGGAACTAATCACGTATATGCGTGTGTTTTAACTGAATACCACGTTGTCTGATTTACAGGCTCACAAACAGAGGCGTGATGTCTCGAATGAACTGTTTACAGTGGCGGAAGACAACTTTGAGGTGGTTACCTTCAGTGAGCACGGGTTTCTGATTGCAAAAACTTCGCGACCCAAGAGCCAGGGCGGTAAGGAGACGAAGTCGGACGGCGAGGGACAACCGACGCGAAACCTCGTCGGTTTCAAGACTGATCACATAGTCATGCTGGGCGTTTGCGCACAGAACCAGCTGGACGCCGCACTCGGATTATTCAAAGACATGCACGAATACGTTCTGAGTCTGTAAACAAGCGCTGGAGATTTGAACGTCTGCGACTGCTTGTATCGACAGGCTTAAATGAAACTGCCTTTAATCGTCATACATCCTGTCTGTTTGTGCATTTTGGCCTGGCTTGTACATTTCCAAATACGTTTTCTGCAGACGACTTCGGGGACCTTGAGGTAGGGTAGCACAAAAATTTAAGTTGAGGGGTACCAGAAATATGTTACTTTTACAAAGAAATCATATTTACATTCTTGGAGGTCTTACAGGCTGGTTAGCAGACATAAAGGAGAAGGCACAGTCAACGATATCCAGTCCAGTTTTAGGGTTTATATCTACTTGTTATCAGAGTAAATTTGGCTATAACAAATTACCTTGCACATGGACGGTGCACAGGCCGACATATTTTGCGACCACATTACTGGTCAAAACTTACTTGGCAATAGATACTGCGTAAAAACAAACATTATATAAGAAGACGATCAAGAAACAGGCCGCGGGCCCATTTAGACATTTAGTTCTGAGGCACATCGATGACCTTCAATACTTTATTACTGTAAAACTATCTTTGTTTTCTGTCATGTTATGCCCTGAGTGGTGGGTAATTTAACCTTTACACAGATGGCAGATGGCACCCAAAAAAATCGGTTACCTAGAAATGATACCTTTAACAATGGACTCAAACGCCTTCAGGCTATATCAGCGGTTGCAGGCCTACTTTCACGCACTAATTGGACTTTCCGCGACGGCCTAATATGGGCTGGCCGAGCGAACATCGCGGGAGGTTACATGGACAATGGTCGCTGTTACCCAACCTTCTCCATCGTTATACACGTACACCTGGATATACGGCATACATTCGCATTATGGCAGTTTATTACAAAACAAAAACACTTTTCAATAGGATAAGTCTGCATAACATGGGACAAGAACAGTTCCCAGGCATCTGTCAAAGACATGGCATTGAGGCAAAACCAAAGACGATACTGCACTTCGTCTATGTAAACTCACACAGCTCGACCACATACAGGGCCTCCCTCGTGGAGTTTCCTTCTCAGTCTACCCCAGTATGCCTCAATGGCATTGGTGTGCCGTCTGGTGGTAGGGACCTTGAATTTCTTTAAGTGGTTAACAGACAAATGTAGATAACCTTCTGAGGGAAGACGATTATACGCCTTCCACTCGTCTGTTACCACTATACTGCCTTTGGCGACCCATTTTGTAATAACGGAACGGAGAGCGGGCCAACTTCGATCATTCGCCTGTTCAAATAAGGCTTTCTGTCGGCTAGTATCCTACATCACGACCAGCCACCACCCATAAAACCCCTATTATCACCTGTCCCGCGTAAGACAGGCTGCTTTGGTTAGGTGGATTTTGTGGGTGCCATTTCCTGATTGTTATCGAAGAAATTAATCGGTTAAACGTCCTGCTAGACTGATGAACATTCCTAAAAATTCCCGAAAAATAATATAAATAATGGGTTAATATTGCAGCAATTATAACAAGAAAAAAATTATATTGGGATATGCCAGTCGACTATTGACTGTGATTCAGTAGACGCTTGCAGGAAAAACACTTAGAAGCCTTTAATTTCAATTAAAAATAAATGCAAAACTCAAGCGTCTTTCCAGTGGCTCGTTCCTGAAAGTTTTATGGTCTTTAGCACGCTCGAGTATCCTCTGTGGTCTGGCGGGTAAGTCGAATGGATCGACGGTAGCCATATATTTTTTACTTAAACATGATTTGCGCCTTTAGTGACAGTAGCTACTCACAAGCAACCTTGCACTCGGTTTCTCAATTAGTTTTTTCTCAGACTGACAATTTTAGTCGCCTTTCGTGCTCCTAGTTTTACCCTTAAAGTTACCATTTTGGCATTCAGGAATATGTGATGTTTCAAACCCAGCTTTTCAAGCGCGAAACTGATTTTTTTCCTACCCATCAGCACACTGACAGCTTTGTCAATCAAATAACCTGCACAACTTGGGAGGCCGCATTGGGCTGAGTCATTATTTGAGGGTGAAACTTGGATCACAGTACCCGGAGTGCTAAACTTTTTACGAGTCTGAAAACAGACAACCACTGTTGGGCAGCTGAGTCAGCAACGAAATAACTTAATGCAGCAAAGAATGTTATCCAAACGCAGTAAAGTTGTTACCTCTTACGGTTTCATATGAAGAGGCGGCTTTGTAATGGATGAGTTTCCCGCCGAAGCTTTTGCGCTTGAAATTAGGAAGTTAGAATAACTCTCTCAAATCCATTTTCCGGTAGCGGACGTCACCAAAATTTTGAATTTGGCTGCCATACGCTTATTGAGCGACTGTTCCATTTGCTGATATTTAGTAAGCTGCTGGAATAGTAAACAATGTGTATGTACATTTCCTGTCTATGTACTCCAAGAGACGGGGCGAGTTAATCATGAAGGAACAAATTTTGACAGGCTTTCTTCTGAAGAGGAGAAGTGGCTAAATAGTTAACATTAAATTTAATAGCAAGTAAAATTGGATTGTAGATGGGGCAGGCTGTTGTCGGTAGCCAAGTCCTTTTACAGATTTGTGATCCATTCTGCAAAGACATTCTGCGCACCTCCAAACTCAAACTCGACTGTAAGCTGTATTTCGCATAAATTCAAGCTTTGTTGTTACTGAGACAGCGAAACCGAGGATTTAACTAGGAGGTCTATATATTTTTGGGTTTTTTGGCTGTTTCATGACCAGAACCTGTACTGGTACAAAAAACCGAAGTTTGAGCTTGGTGGAGCTCAGTAGGGCAAGGGTTATAGAAACCCAATCAGTAGAAGCGTAACCAATCAGATTGTTCGGAAAGAGAGGGACGTGAACAAACAAGATAAGCAAAGACAAGCAGATAACGGTTAGGGGCCGAGATACATGCCAAGCAAATAACAAGGTAAATCTGGAACAACGTTTTTTTTGTTCTGGCTTTGAACGGAATAACACAAACGAGCATCGGGATGTCGATAGGTACAAGTCGAGTGTTAGGCCACAGTATGTACAATTGATTGCAGGCACCGATAACTGCCCACTCCATGACTCTTGATTACGTGAGGCTGTCAAGAAGGTTCATGAATAGTTGGTCGGTAGGATCATTAGCCAGGGGTTTGGAACTAACCGTGACATGATCTTCTGATAAATACGCTTATTGGTGCACGGTTTCAACGGCTGTTTGGGTGTCCATGAAAATCCTGCTTATGCCCATACCGAAAATATAAATCGAAGACCATACAATCTTGTTTACTGATCATTTTATGCGCCTCACTGAAAGTTGCATGTTGTGGCCTCCCGGTGTTGGCCTGAGTTGAGATTCTGAATGCAGTTTACAGACTAGATCGCCCTGTTTTGGCTTTTACCTAAGACCACAAGACGTGGTACTGAGGGAATGTAGTACGGAAGAGATGTCCGGAGGGAGTTCAAATGAGGAGAGGTCAGATAAGAAGAAGCCGATAGCGGATTCAGCTCACTGATCGGCGTCAGTAGTCGACAAAGAGTCAGGCTCAATAGCGGGTGCGTGGCACGCGCAGACGGGCTGCTAAGCCCTGTCAGCCACTGCGTCCGAGCCAGCTTCCGGCCATCCTGACTCCGTCTTGTAACCCGCCGCAGGTGGATGAGTAAAAGGGGAGAGTATGGCTGATGCGGTGCGGGTCTGTTTGCATTAGAAACTAATTTACGCTCAGCTTACTGTCTTGCGCGTGTGACCCTCTGCATCGCTGCATGCCGCTGCTGAACTGTCATCCGCTTACCTTGTGGCGGTTATGCGGTGTGAGTGTGTGTCCCGTACTCCGCTCTAATATAATCAGGGCAAATCCTAGTGTTAGTAGGAGAGAGACAAAAGGCACCAGAAAGAGGGGTTTAATGTATACCAAACCCAGAGTTGTTCTCTCAGGCGGCAGTGGCCGCTGGTGAAGCCAGAGCTGGTGTTGAGTGCGTCCAGTCATGTCTGAGAGTCCTTGAGACAGTGGTGGCAGTCGCTTTTGTAGGCTAGTGGGCCAAACTCAAGTGGTCTCCAATCGGTGTGCGTTGTATTCGCCGAGGGGTGGTGTCCCAGTGGCTTGTTTTGCTGGTTGCAGGGGGTGGGGGTGCGTTCAAGTGACCGCATAGGCAGCTGCGGCTGTGCGGGCGCAGGTATGCTCCATCCTTCGGTCGCGTGACTTCAGTTCAGCGCGTCTGGACCGACTCACTGCAAAAGGTGAATGACCTTGAAGCAGCGAGGTCTTGAGCAATGACGCCAGACCGGCCATGACGGCTGCCCACTACAACCTCAGGGTGGTTTAAAAGAGAGTGGGACTTCGACAGTTTGTCAGGAGACCCCAATAGTAAGTTAGTGTGGATAATAACCAGGTGCTTCTGAACAGAACTGAGTTCATAGTCGAACCCGAAACTTTAGTGTCAAATGCATCCACAAAGCACTCGCACATATAAGGACAAACTAGCGTTCGAACAGAGATTTCTTAGGGACATCGTTATGGGCTGATAGTTCAGACAACATAGATTGTCAAACAAATTCCTGTAAAGTACCACGTACAAGAAAACTTCTGATTTGGTTAACTGTTCCCTCAGTCATCCTGTACCGTTTTCAATTCCGCTCATTTTTTTCCTGAGACGGCTTCTTCATGTCTACATGTCATTAAGAAAAAACTACTTACCACTAAAAACGTGCGCAAATAATTATCAGACTGGGCGCCTTATTAGAATCGTTAACATTTAAGCAGAAACAAGGCTAGAAGAATCGCCATGCCAGCCCTCTACATGCTACAGGGATCGCATATGTTTAAGAAGCGGAAGATCCCTCCCCACAAGTGCGCGGTCTAAAAAGGCATAATTTCACGCCAACTGTGGATGAGAGATGGAATTTAGTTACTCTTTCTAGGAAAAATGGTCATATGCATGGAAGGACTGTAAGCCAATCGAACAAGTCCATGTAGTAAGAGTAGCTATTTTTTCTGTGCGCGTGAACTGTAATCAGGACTGTAAAAGTACTCCCTTCAAAACCCACCATGCTGGCGCTCT